AAAAACCATATCTTTGACTAGATGGACTTTTGTTGGCAAAGTGATGTCTCTGCTTTTTAATATGCTGGCTAGGTTGACTATGACTTTGTCTAGGCGACTATGAATAGTGATGAAATAAAGTTAGAGAGAGATGAGTTTCCCCCGAAGAGTGGGAGAGGACAGCCAGGAAGGACCTGCTTCATTTAGTTTACTCCAACATTGGATGTCCTGAGATCAACCTGGCTCTTTGTCTTCTTCTTCTTCTAAAGGCTGTTGTGTTTGTTCTGGGTTTTCACATTTTGTTATCCCTGAAGACAAGGGAGGGTGTTATGGTCTTGCCACTATGCCAGTATTGAAGCTTCTGTTTATAAGAGAGTGGGATTTCAAGAAGTTTCAAGTTCAACAATTGGGTCTCAATGTCTAAGCCCAGATTACATGAAAAGGGTGTTATTGAGGTTTTGGAGAGAAAATTAAAGTGTCAGGCCATGATCTCAGTGTCATTTCTGACAATTGAATTCCTGTGCAGTTCAGAAATGGGCACATACAGAAAATGGCTCTTTCCAAGGGGCATCAGAAAGCCTTCAAGACAAATTCCCTAGTTTCTGACAAGGTATGTAAAGTTACATAGTCCTAGGATACAACCTAGGAACAGGGAGAAGCCATACAGGAGAAGAAATACTTCAAGTGCAACAAGGATAATGAAGAGGTGAGGGAGTTCCCTGGTGGTCCAGTGGCTGGGATTCTGAGCTTTAGTGCTGAGGACCTGAGTTCCTTGGTCAGGAAGCTAGGACCTCAAATGTAAAACAAAAGAAGAGGTGAGTGTGTGGAACTTCTGAAAAGGTATCCAGGAGGAAACAGGATATGAGTATCTGAAGTTCAGGGAAATGCTGAAGATGTCACCTGGAGAGTCCTTGGCATATAAATAGCCAGTAAGACTCCAAGTGAGCCTTCCAGGATAAGTATACAGAGTGAAAAATGGCCAACCAACCATTCATTTTGAAGATTAAACAGGAGAGCAGGGGCTCTGGGGAAAAAATATTTGTATATAGGTGATGTCATGTTGCCAAGTGTTAAGTTTTTTTAAGGATTTTTTTTTTTTTTGATGTGGACCACTTTTATGAGGTCTTTAATGAATTTATTATAATATTGCTTCTGGGCCATTAAGGTATGTGGGGATCGAACCTGCATCTTCTGCCTTAAGGTGAAGTCTTAACCACTGAACCATCAGGGAAGTCCCCAAGAGAAAGCTTTTTAGACAAGGAACTCTCTGATGCTAGTTTAGTTAGAACATTAAATTAAACATCAACTTTGAAGCTGGTACTATTCCTTAAAGCATTGCCAAATGTCAGCTCTAACACATCATTAGCTTACATTTGAATTTAGGTCATAACTGTAGGACATTTGACATATTTGTGTATCAATAGAAGCAGTTAGATTTTTGGTAGGGGGGTTATGTACGAATGGCTGTCTTCAATTTTCAAACCAGCCCCCAGTCTACAATTGCCTTGAACCCAAGTTATTTTTAAAGATACTGGGGATGTCAAGAGAAGATAATGTTGAAAATCACAGATTCAAAAATCCTTTTTGGCCAGGATTAGCAAACTTTTTTTTTAATCCCCTCTGCAAAGGAGCAGATAGTGAAGATTTTCTGTTTTGTGGGCAATATAGTTTGTTGTAATTACTCATCTCTGCCCTTGTGGGGCAGAAGCAGTCATAGGTAATATATAAGCAAATGACTATGCTGTGTACAAATAAGTTTATTTACATTAATATGTAGTTAAATTTGAATTTCACATGATTTTCATAGGCCATAAAATACTTCTTTTTTTAAAAAAATTATTTATTGGCTGTACTGGATCTTGGGGTTTCCCTGGTAGCTCAGTTGGTAAGAATTCACCTGCAATGCAGGAGACCTGGGTTTGATCCCTAGGTTGGGAAGATCCCCTGGAGAAGGGAATGGCTACCCACTCCAGGATTCTTGCCTGGAGAATTCCACGGACAGTGGGCCTGGCAGGCTACAGTCC